AGCGTCGGGATGTTGTTGGGAGCGGGGGTCGATGTTTTCATCGAGCTGCCATTTCCACGTAAGTGCTGCGTGTCGTTTCACTTGGGCGACAGAGTCGCTATGAACACAAAGCCGGATGAAACTGGTGAAGCTTCCTCGGCGATTTGGTTGAGATACCGATTTAGACGGAAGATACCAGAGAAAGTGGTGGCGATTGAGGGCTGGTTGGGCATGCCAGTATTTTTCAAATAGTGATTGGGATGGGGGCTTGCCGTTAGAGAAAATTGCTCCGAAGAAGAGCCATACCGGAGTTATGTTTCATGAAGAGTTTTGTCCGGCATCGGGCGGCCCACCACTTTCGTCAAAAGGTGTTCGGGTACTGGCGGCTGCGATTGGGACTGAGAAGCTGGTGGGGTCGGGTGTTTTTTAGGGCTTGGTTTTTCAGGTTTGTCCACTTTTGAGCGGTAGCTGGGAGGCTCACTGCTGCTATTGGGCGCCTGTGACCGCGGTCTTTTTGCAGGCGGAGCAGGCGGGCTTGTGGAGCCAAATCGGACAGTGTCGGGTGTGTCTTCATCTATAGGTGCATGGGTTTGGGATTCAAGGTCCCGGAGTTCGGATTCAAGGTTGTTTGTTTTTGCACAGAGGTTAGTGAGCATTTGGTGTATGGTTGATTTCCATTGGTCATCAGTCAAAGGCTCCTTGGAGATGGGCCCATCATTGTTCGGGGTTGTTAGAGCCGGTCCCAAAATTTGATTGAGATTGGCCTGTAGAGTACTGACCTGGGCAGAGAGGTTTGTGATAGATTTTTGTATGTCCAATTTCTATTGGTCATTGGGTAAGGAGTCGTTGGGGACGAACGTCTCAATTGGGGATTCGGCCCGGCCCGACATTTTTCGCGGATATGGGACTGTGGGACTGTGGGGCTGTGGGCCCCCAGACTCCCTACTGGATAAATTTTTTTTTTTTGATTGAAAATCCAAATTTCAAGTCAACGTTTTGGTGGGGTCTGAACCCTAAAAACCCTAAAACCCTAAAAAAAAAAATAGTCTCAGTCTTATATCCCCTAATCTTTAGCGCATGGGCTGAAGCTAAACTTAAAATTACATTGTGTAAATTTACTTTGAAATCTTACTTTTCTTTTACGTTAACTTATTGAAATCGATAGTCAGCCTGGTTAGTCTGACTTTTACATATTTTAAGTTTATATACTATCGGAAGAATATGACGAAGGGTAAAAGGCAAGCGAAGGCAACAAAGAACCAGCAGAAGGTTACGCCTTTGGAACCCTCTTTGACACCTGACCCACAAGCGGATGAAGCTGTGACAAGTAGGGTTTTAGCTGTGACAAGTATGCCCCGCACATGAAGGAGCAAGACATCAATGTATCGACAGATCTCCTGCCCATGTCCCGCAGCCGACCTGGCGGGTCAGTGGTAAACTCGTCCTTACGCCACATAGGGATAATATTATTTATTTCAAAAATGACAAGTATGTATGATACAATGTATGAACATATGGTGTGGCTCTTATAGTCGCTGTAGTGGTTCAGGAAAGATTGATGGGAAGAAGTAGTCAGTAAATTTCCGTTTGAAGCTTGGGCCAAGTGAGTCGACAATGGAAGATATGCGCTGAGTCAATTTGGGCCGGTGTTGACAAAACACTGTTACTATCGAATGTTCCATATATTCGCTTGCTGACCTACTAAGTAGAGTACCTACCTCTGTGGTACGGATCGGGTCTGCGCCGTGTAGTGCGGCAGAATGGTTTAGTGCAGAGTATGAAATACCGAGAAGGACCAGGTTATCCATCATAATCCGGTCGAGGAGCGAGGATAGGGATAAGCCAATACCCCGAGCTATAAAGCTTCGTGGTCAGAGAGTAATTTAGCCGAATGATGCGACCGTTCGTGGATCTGTCACAGCTTTCTGATACCATAAACCAGTGCTATTTATTTTTTGTCGGTGACATGGTAATTTAGCTGGGTTTGCGCAAAATTGAATGAGAGATATGACACCGGCAATAACTTCCTATCCCTTGAGTACATACGTGAAACCGCCCACACCAATGTGCACACGTAAGCATCCGCATGCTGGTGTGTACTGTACAAAGGCTCCTCCAGCCTCGGCTGGTCCGACTAAGATCGTACACTCCTGCAGACAATCATTAACGAGCCGGAACGCAGCCTTCTGCGCTGGACCCCACTTAAACTTCACTCCATCCTTCATCAATTTAATTACCGGTGCAAGTATCTGTGCAAAGCTTTCAATACTATTTTTTTTCCGAAAGACAACAGTGTGATACCAGGGCTGGAACCTATCTTGGTTGTCCAACCTGTCCACCACCAGAAGAGGGGCCAACCGGTCATACGAAATGGCAACACCTTCAAATCCAGCCCAGCGCCCAAGAAGCTTGACAGTGCGCTTGTAACATGCCATCCTGACCTTGCGCATTCCAAACTGCACGTCATACTTTTTACATTGCTGAAGGAACTCCCTTAGCAGCTGACAGTGCTGTTACGCTGTGTCGGACGCAAACATGATATCATAGATGTACCTTATTACCCCTTCTAACGCATCAAAGATGTACCCCAGGAATCCTAAAAACGTCAGGAGGTCTCAGTTAAACCAAAAGGCAAGAAGGTGTACCTGTACCTGGCCAGGGGGTTATAAAAATTATATATTACGGATCCCGTCATCCAATTATAACTGTGCAAACCCATTGCCACAGTCTAAGACTGTCACCCGAGGTTTGCCAGCGATATGGCGAAACATATCCTGTTCCGAAGGAATGCGGAATGGCTCTTGCTCAAGCTTCACCCTCCACTTGGAAAATTTGGTACAAAATCGCCAATCATTCTTACTCTTCGGCTTCGTATGTGGGTCCTTTCGTGGCATCACTGTCTTCGATAACCACAGCCTCTGCTTTTTGATGATGCCTTGAGCAGTCATCTCATTTATTTTCTCTTTCTGCGCCAGCCGCTGCTGATGATAGTCCTTATCAAGATTACCCCTGTAGATCAACCGCACCGGCGTCACGTTCGGCTTGTGATGGAGGCGAATCTTATTTTTTTTCATAAACCGATGGGCCTCCTTGTTATACGCTTTCGCCTCTGTCATTGCTTCCATACGTACAGGATCACGCGGCGACTTAACAACTGAGCGCTTCCGTAAGAAGATTGATCCTGTTCACCAAATCAGGAAACTTAGGGGAGTACAAACCGTACACCTCCCCAGTTCCGGATCTACATTTTTGGAAACTTTGGATTTTTGGCGCCAAAAATTGTGATACATAATCATTTTTGGGCTGATTTTGTCTTTTTTTTAGGAGGCTGTCCTAATTTTGGGTTTGAAGAATAAGGACCGAACTTTGAGGATTTCGAGGGACCATATTTGGTTTTTTGAAAAAGAAAGTAAACAAAAATAAAAAAACAATTAGAACATACAGTCATACCTCTATATATGTCCAGGTTCCGCCCAGGGCCAATAATTTCTCTTCAGCGATCCTAAACCTCTGTATAGTTTATACTTATATCATATGTTGCACGTGCAGCTTGTACGGCTTCTTTAACTAAATCACTCTCCATGGCTTGCTCAAGTCATATCCACTCTTTTTGATAGTGCGCACGACGACACCTTTCTCGTCGTTTGTTAGATTAACTCTCTTTTCAGGAAGGGCACGCACCTTTGAAAACACAGTCTGTTTGTACACTTTCTTTTTATTACTATTAGACAGTCTCTTCACTCTTGTATCTGACGCTTCCTTTACCCCAGACGATACACCTTGCTTAGACGTAAATTGTGTCGTATCATCTTTCTGCATTGCAACAGAATCAGTAGTTGTCTGATCTAACAGTGATGCTGCGGATGCAAGTGGTGTCAATTCGTCTGATTGGCTCGCTGTTGATGCATTTGGTGGCTTGAAATTATCTGTAGACAAGCAGTATCCGATCGAATTCGATCCAAACCTCTCACCACGATGCACGCCACAAAAGGCATGCATATTACGATTGCAACCAGTAAATCTGTGAGCACCTGATGTCGGATGCGTGATCGTGCACCCTTGCACGCAACAGCGACCTAAGCTAGAAGTATCCTCCATGGAGAAGAAGTAAGTCTTAGTGGCGCGTATTCACTGTGTGTAGAGTGTAGACTACACATATGTATACTTAATACTTATTGTATGAAGTCTCACTGAGATTGTACCCATGACCCACTCACGGTCGGATCAATAGGAAGTATATGATGAGTTAAAATTTAAACTGAGAGCTTCTGATTAATTAGTTCCAGACTTCCAGGGTCAGCCGAAATTAAAAGTGGACATATATCGAGGTAGACAATTGAAGAGGTAGACATATAACGAGGACTGCCTTTGTCTAAATATCAAGAAGGCTTTTATGCTATGATTAGAAAATATGTTTTAGTGAAATATATATTAATTAATATATAAAAATATAAATATGCAGAAGTCACGTAATTTTAAAAAACATACATCATCATCAGTAAAAAAAGTTAAAAATACATACATATGGAGTAAACAACTCCTGTGAGACCCCCCCCTGCCTGGAGCCCAGCTGCCCAGGAGTCCTGGACTTCCTCCTGCTGGTCAGCTGGTGCCTGGTTGAGGACCGAGAGACTGAGAGAAAGACTGTGAGAGTCTCAGTCAGTCAGAGCTCAGAGTCGAGAGATGACGTATGTATAAAAAAAATATGATAATTTCAACCAACAAGAAGAGAAGAGAGACCATCAATCACTACAGTACATATATTGTTTTTCTAAAAAAATAATAAAAGTGACAGCACTGAGCAGTGTGAGCAGTGAGCACTATGTAGCCCTGACAGGTCACAGATACAGTAGACAGTTAGACAAAGGTAAGCCGTGAGCCTGTGTGAACTGTGAAGGCGTACAGAGGCGAATATCATTGTGACACGATAAATAATAATACTTAAAAGTTTACTATTGAGTTTGTGACTACATACTACACACGTGCACAGCGCAGTAAACTAATGGCGGTAGCAAAGTAGCATATCGATTAGAAGTACCCGATACAATCGTGACATCGGTCATACCATTCGAGATCACGAGGTCGAGAATCTAGATACAAACTCACTAGTATAGACTTCTTTCAAAGTGTGTATCCAATTCCTTATCCGGCCTGGGTACGAACAGATATAGTTTTTCTCGGATATTGAGGTAGCTGTGACGTTACAAAAGCTGAAGTATCAAAATGGGGAAAGATAAAAGAATAGACGTTGGTCGGTTCTCGGTGTCGAAGCGACCTTCGCCGGAAGATCTAGACAATGAGGACAAGGGTTATACGTCACCTGATCTCGCAACAGTATGTACTTTGTACCGAAACATTATATAGATAGATGTAAATCTGCAAGTAATGCTCTCCAGAAACTGGCGTCGCTTAAAATTAAATTCAGAACAAAATTAAAAACATTGGTATACAAGTGGGTATTAATGTAGCTTGTGTGGGCTGCTTGGTAAATGAGCGACAATCCGCAGTTGCACACCGGATAATTGGCAATATATCCTGGAAATCATCGTGAATACCTAGATGTTAACAATCATCATGGATACCTAGAAGCGACTATTTCAGCATATATTCATACCTACGCACATGCATACATACACACACACACACAGATACACACACACACACACATATATATATATATTTATATGCATGCATGCTTGCATGCGTTCGTGAGTGGTTGCGTGCATGTATGTATATTCTTATGTATGTATGTATGTATGTATATTCTTATGTATGTATGTATGTAAATATGTATGCATGTACGTATGAATGTATGGATGTATGGATGGATGGACGTATATATATATATATATATATATATTGTGTGTGTGTTCATGTGTAGACGATATGTCTATGTATGCATGTGTGGGTGTATGTATGTGGGTGGGTATATACAT